AAAAAAAAAAAAAAAAAAAAAAAAAAAACAACAGATGTTAAGATTCTAAGTATAAACACGCGAACCCTCACAGGTGGTTAAAGTAGTCTATATCATATTTTCGTGACGCTTAAACGAATAAATCGGATTTTGGTTTGCATCAAAAACTGTTATATTTAACCATTTGAGAAAGTTGTTGATTACGTGTTTTACTAGAAGTACAACTTAACAAGATAACTATTTCAGTATCTTACATTTATCAAATTAAAATGTAAGAACCTCAGTTTGAGTTCTTAGGCACGTTTGTAATGAATCGTCATGAATATGTAAAAAATAAATGATGTTTTTTACAAAAAGCAGTAATAAGACAACTGACTAATAATGCACAACAAATTAAAGTTAAAATCGGCTAATTTTGACAGGTGAAAATTTTCATCGTCGAGGGGCATAGATTATGTACTTTGTTCCATAAGAATGACGATAATTTTTAATTCTTCCATCGTTTGTGCATTATATTCCTGATTTGATATTATTGGTTTTTATGAATTTGCCCAAAGTACTGTATTTTTAAGTAACTCTATTCTGTTTTTTTACGCAAAGATTACACCATCTTAATATTATGCAAAGTGAAGCATAAAACATTATGCTAGAGTTTGAAATGTGCAAACCAAGTAATTACACCCTAAAGTACCTGCGAACAAAATGAAAAAGTAGTTTTCTTGCTTGGGTGCTGAGAATTATATGGGACACGGAAAACATGTTTATTATTCTTTAAAGTTTTCATTAAGGATGGATGGATACAATTTTCAATGAAACGTCAGATAAATGTTTTTCTATTCTACCAGACCTTTTTCGAGGGTGTATGAACGTTAAAGGTTACAAAACTAATTTTAAATTATAGTAGCCGAAATGAATATAAAACTACAACAATGTGATGAAACGGTGCAAGGTGAATATGTCAGAAAACAGTCCTAATTAAATAGGTACATTTGACGATGTTGCAATGAAAAAAAAATATTGTTTCTATGCATATAATGGTTTAATCTCCTAGACCAGAAAAGAATCTCAGAGATGTGTGTACCGCCTGAGTTCTGAAACAGAATTTTTTTGAAAATTCACAGTCTCTTTCTATACTCCGAAAGCGCTCCCTACCTTTAGTGCACTTGTTTACGGCACCTTGCAGCTTTTAGTTGTTAGGGCTGTACCTGCATGGCACGCCGTTAGAGAGAGCCACAAGCGTATCGACCTCGGGGAGGATGGGAAGGGGTAGAGACAATGATGTCACCAGAGAGGGTGCATTGCTAGGCCGCCGTAAATACACATTTAGTGTTTTGTATCACTATGTAGTGTAAAAGTTCAGTGAAGTTTAAATTTATTGACATATAAAACTCTAGTTAAAGTACGGTGGACATTAAATCCGTTTTCTGTTTGTCGGGCACAGTATTGAGTAGAAAGTGTGCAATATTTGTGACTTTTGACCTTTTTCTGCATGTCAGGCACAGTATTGAGTAGAAAGTGTGCAATATTTGCTCGTTAACTGAAATTTCCCGTCAAATACTGAGAAATAGAATATTGTAAATACACACTTATTGGTTTGTATCGCTATTTAAAATAAAATAACTGACTTTTAAATTCAGTGGCATACAAAAACTCTAGTTAAAGTACGGTGAACATTAAATTTATATAGAAAAGGTATGATATGTAGAGTTTGAACAGTTTATTTTCAATATGAAGTTTAATGTAAATACATAGATAACGAAAATGTATTATAATTGACTTTTATTTTAAGTTTATCGAGCCAGTCAGTGGCCTTGAATAACAAACACAACTTGCTTCATGCCAAAATTTGGACCCTTCTCTTCTTTCTATATCTTCTTTTTTCTCTATCTACCCTTCCTATATGACCAGGTGACGATCTTTGTATTTCTTGAGAGAGAAAGTTTAGCTAGCTTGACGTCAGTGTTCAGATTGTATGTGTGTTTGGTATTTCCTAACAATGTCTTAATGTTAGACAGTTTCAATGCTTTATGAAATTTTAATAGAAAATGGATGGATAAACAGTAAGTCATTCATTTATTATTTTTAGTTGTAGCAAAATGAATTACTGGAGATGTTAAATCATGAATGAGGTAAAGGTATGTGAGTAGGTTTGTATGTTATATAAGTGATATAAACTGCCTCATTCAAATAATATGTATGTGATAATAGTTGTCTCGTTGAAATAACAGTTTTTGTGTCCTTTTCAGGATGTAAAAAAATAATAAAAGCTAACACTATAATCAGAAAGTTATATATTTTCTTGTCCTATATTGTAAGAAACAATAGTTTGCCAAGAACAGTTATATGAATAAAGAAAAACTAGTGAAACAGTAAGAAGTCTGCATGACATTTAAATAAGTGTCCTTTTCAGAACGATTTACATATAAATGGTCAGGAAGCATGATTAAATATAGAACTAATGAATTAGGGTTGTATACTGACTCTATTAAATTTAGCCATGTCATTGTCTCTGAAGTCATATCTGCATGTCATGGAGGTCTAGCAACACACCCTCTCTGGTGACGTCATTGTCTCTACCCCTTCCCTCCCTCCCTGGTTTGGAAAGATTTTACTTTGTACATTACTATGTTCAGTTTATTTTGTCAAGTCACAGCTTAAGTTTAACTCAATAATACATTTCATGACAGATGTTCAGTTACTTGCAATGCTACTCTAACCCCTACAGTGATCAGTGAAATTTAGAATACCGAAGAATGTCAATGGTGAGTTTAAAAGAGCTTCCACTTAACAGGTATACTTCTACATCGCTGAGATGAAAAAAAGTTCTAAGTAAGTAAGTTTATTGTTGGAGAAATGATAGTGAAGTTTTGCTATTTGTTGGATTTCACGCAAAGGTACTTGAAGGCTATCTACTCTAGCCATCCATCTTGAAGTACCCTACTCGAACATTTGGGTTTGACCACCACTGTTATAATGCACCCACTGTCCAAAGAGTGGAATCAAATATCTCTTTTTTTTTTTGCAGTCGTAGTGAGTGCAAACTTCGGATCTTCAAATCCACAGTCTGGCATGCTAAACAATGAATAACGCTCGGAACTGATGGTGAAGTGAGAAAAGTTACAAGTGATCAAACAAACTTAGGGACTGTGAGGTGAAACAGCTTAAAATAAAAACATACCATCTGATGTTGTAATGAGATAAAACAGTTCGAAATGATGAGTCACCTTCCATGGTGGAAAATTGAAATCTCCTGTAATTTTAACTCCTCTTTTACCATGGTGGCGAACTTGGTATGTTAACCACTTCTATTCTCATGGAGAAAATGACACATTTTGTTAATATTTCTTCACACCGAATCTAACGATATGTGGTTTGTAGGGCATTTTTTTCAATAACATATACCATAAATCAAGGAAGTCAATCTGTAAATGGTTAGAAATCGTTTAATTATTTTAATAGATTCTTGTTAATTATCGAAAAACTGCAGATTGTTGGGAAACATCAATTTGGTAACAGTCATTGAAATAACTGGATTTTATTTCAAAACTAGATAAAAAATCTGATAGTCTTAAAAAAGTTACTTGGTTGCCTTTTTGATATGTTTCTTATTTATAAATTTTTTATGCCTTTCATAACATTACTTTAGCATTTTTTTACCATATTCAAACACGTTGTGGATTATTCTCCTTAAGGAAAAAAGCGCCATCCCTCGATTGTTGTTTCAACTATTTTATTAGCATGCAGAATTTAAAATATATTTCTTTTTACTCATTATTTGTTGACGCTAGTTGAAAAATATTTTGGAGATTGTAGTTATATTTATGCCTGATTTTGAACGATTCTATATCATAAAGGTAATAATTATTACTCAAGAATAAAATCGGTCTTTATTTTGAAAAATATCTGGGATTAATTTATCAACTCTGCCTTATTAACCAAAATTGTTTCATTACCTCTGTATTATTAAACAACGCAAAATACAAAAACATAAAACGACTACTTTCGACAGGCTACATTTGTCAGACGAGAGTGTCGTAATAACGATTTATGTCGTACAGAGTGTTCCACAATAAACCATCAATAAAAATCAAAACAAAACAGGTATTAAGGTATTATTAATTTTAAGCTCATGAAATATCATAGGCGATTATCTTAGTCTACGTCATAGTTTAGTGTTTGTTTGTAGTTATGCACAAAGCTACACAATGGGCTATCTGTGCTCTGTCCACCACGGGTATCGAAACTCAGTTTCTAGCGTTGTAAGTCCACAGATATACCGCTGTGCCACTGAGGGGCCCATAGTTCAGTGACAGTTAAAAAAAGAAATCATAAAAATATTGTAATACAAGAGTTAGGTGTGCTTACAATTACCTCTTCTTACAGTTGACCATTTTAGGACTGTGTATAGATATAACATGAACTCGTGTAATAACTAGCCTAAAACTGCATTTTTCAATAAACAACGTTAAATTTATCAAATCAGGAAAAATCTCAATAAAAACTTACAAAAAATTATTATGGAAAGTAATATCAATCAAGTGAACAAAGAAATTCTGTTTTTTACACAAAAGGTTAAAGGTGACATTTTGAGCTACAAATAAAAATTTTGCAAAACACATTGACTATACCCTAAAGTATATGCGAACAACATCTTAAATATAGAGATGCTTTCTGCGCTGATGAGTTGAGAACATAAATAACTCTAACATTAATATGTTGAAAATAGTTCCACATAAAAAAATGCTGATTTGAATACAATTTAAACTGAATATACTGCTTTAATAATGTTAATATGTGTATTTGTTTTTGCTTTATTGCAGAGCAACAAAATGCGCTATTTAATTAAGCTCGTTGGAAATCACACTTATGTACACTGAAGTGGTTATTTGCACTGTTATTTCTAAAGCTATGCGTGGATTGATCAATATCGCTGCCATCTGTTAGCAATATATATATATATACACTTTCACAGTGATATCCCTGACGACACATGAGGCTAATCGTATTTATTTCACGTTAGGAGTGTTTTATATTATTTGTTGACAAGAAAGCATAAACTAATAATTTTCTTGTGATTAAATAAACTTCTTGTTTAATTTAGTTCTTTAATATTTTAGGCTCGACTGAGTGACGTTATTATATTATGTAATGTAATCAGTCGCAGGGACTGTGGTGTTTGTTATTTCCTGATTCACTTGAGTAAATGGGCTCAATAATGCGCTTGCGTAATTGCCAGGTGCTCTGCACACAGCTGTTTACGCCATTATTATTTTGTTTATGGTCCAACGATTTAAAGTTTGCACGTGTGATATTTATTGTTGTCCACGGGTCCCTGATAGCAACTGTTTATATTGCCAGTACAGTATATGCCACATTACTTACACGTGGCATAGTACAAGCAGTATAAAAATAGTATATATTCGAAAAATTAAAAAAAAAAGTTAACTAAAGAGTTTACTCTTCTGAGCTGACAGAGAAGGGAAAATATGATAGCCCGAAATACTGCGGTTCAATCTTTGCAGCGGACCTAAACGTACATATTCAGGCAATTTGAAATAACTATAGGAAATCTGAGGTAATGCTTTCGGAATTAAGAAAGCATTTGCGTGTACAATTCCTTATAATAATATAGATATTTGTGTTTTATATTTCAGGCAATGCTCTTCGAGAGCTACTTGCTGTAGCCGTCCCTAATTTAGAAGTGATGGACTAAAAAGAAAGCTAATCAACTCCATCGCTGCCAACTTTTGGACTACTCTAATCGAATAGTGAGATTGAATGCTATATTATATGCCCCCAAGGCTGAAACAACAACCATATTCGGTTTCTATGTATTTAATACCTTCACCAGCTTTAAAAAGGTATTGACATAATAATAAGCTACATTTCTTTGTCAGTTTCTGTTTGAGTTTCAGTAGAATGTTCCTGAAGAAGCTGTAAAGCGAAACGTTAAGTGTTCAATTAAAGAAAAACAACAATTTGGTGTTATAAGGTCGTTTATTTCCAGTATTAATATGTCTTCTATCGACCAATATGCAGAACAGAAATCAAATAATGTAACAACAGTTTTAAGGTAGTTATTTTAACACTTCTAAATAAATACACAACCTTAACAATGTTGAGGTGAGAACAGTACCATGTGTTTGTTTATTTGTTGTTTTTAGCGTATAGATACACAATGGGCTATATGAGATTTGCCCACCGCAGAGAATCGAACCCAGGATGTTAACATTGTAAATTTTTAAACTTATCGCTGAATCACCACTCGGCACCGATAATAGACTGAGGATAGTTCCAAGTAATTAGACGAACTGAGTGACAGTGAGGTGAAAACAAAATTCGAAAGAACAAAAAAACAAACTTTGACCATGGTGAGATAAACCAATTTTAAGTGAGTAAGTGTCGTTTATGAGAAAAAAAAGATAAAACATTTCTAAAGGGATAGACAACTTTAACGATAGTGAAATTTGAATTGTTCGAATTTAGCGCAAAGATACACGAGGATTATCTGCGTTCCCGAATAGTGGGATTGACCATCACATTATAACGCCCCCACGACTAAAGGGCGAGCATGTTTGATGTGACGGGGATTCGAACCCACGACCCACAGATTGCGATTTGAGCGCCCTAACCATCTGACCATGCTCGGCCAGAACTATTCCAAAAGAACAGATAAAATTAATGATTTTTTTGAGATAAAAAGTTTATTTCCAACGATTATTTTCTCATTGAAAATTATTCCGGGAATGAAAACCTTATTACAGATGTATTTTGTTAAATGTACTTAAAATACATAGATGACGATTTCCCATTGGGTGTAAGGAAACGGAGAACTTTTGAACTGTATTATTAGTTCGTATCTTAGGAAATTTTTTAAAATGTGTTTCGGAAAAAAAGCACATGAAAGTTTCTGTCCATTGATAAAAGTGCATAATAAAAACTAGCAATAGACAATGAACGTTGTAGCATAAAAACTGCTGCCATTTTAAGCCTTTGTTTATAATTGGATGTACTTAGTCTGTTAACTATTTCAATTCTTATGGACCATACAGGCGTAATTTAAGTATGGTATCTGAATCTAATTGTATATAGTTTGTCTATACCTTCTTCAATAAAATATAACGATGCATTCATCAAATAATGAAATTTTGGCCTTTCATCGTACTTCCTATTTTTATCTGGAAATACAGTATGTCTGATAACCTAGAAACTTCCTTTTAACTAACATTAAATTAGCTACATTATTCTTACTTGAACTAAAACTAATTAAAATAATTTGGGAATATTAAATATTTTAGGTTTGTTTTACGCTTGTTATTGTTTAAAATTGTTTTATTCATTCCACTGAATTTTAAATAATAGTTCACAACCAATAACAATACCAAAATATTAAAATATTGTAATACCAAACAACACCGGGAACCTCAATATGACACTGTGTTCATTATGTAAACTAACGACCCAGTACAGTAAGTTGTATTGTGTTTTTCAAACCGACTATGTGAACTAACGACCCAGTACAGTAAGTTACACTGTGTTCACCACGTGAACTAATCACCCAGTACAGTAAGTTACACTGTGTTCACTATGTGAACTAACGACCCAGTACAGTAAGTTACACTGTGTTCACCACGTGAACTAATCACCCAGTACAGTAAGTTACATAATGAACACAGTGTAACTTACTGTACTGGGTGATTAGTTCACGTGGTGAACACAGTGTAACTTACTGTACTGGGTGATCAGTTCACATAGTGAACACAGTGTAACTTACTGTACTGGGTCGTTAGTTCACGTGGTCATCTCGAACTACACCAAACATTTTAATGTACTGTGTTTCAAATGTTAGTTCCTATGGCGATCACAAACAACATTGGGCAGCTTATTATATTTTATTGATAATTCACATAGCTTTACTGTACAGTCTTGAGTCATTAATTGGGAATAACCCGCCCACAAAAGAACAATGTTAGTATAATATACTTCCTTAGGAAATATACATTTTCTCAACTGCCTCTGCTTCAAAAGTTGGATCGAAACCTAAAACAACAATTAATTAATAAAAGTACGAACATTTAAATGCTACAGTTTTATTAAGAATGACAACCCTCTTTTTGTTATCAAACCTTTACAAAACCTGTAAGAGAAAAAAATAATATTGATGATTTTCACATTTGATGGCATGAGCTAAAACCCGCCTCCGCCCCCAGAAAAACAGCGCTATGTCTACGGACTGACAACGCTAGAAACTGGATTTCGATACCCGTGGTTGGCAGAGCACAGATAGCCCATTGTGTAGCTTTGTACTTAACTTTAAACAAACAAACAAAAGCTAAAACCCTCCACCTAATAAAGCGAGAATCTATAATTAAACGTTACACTCTGAAAGTTCAATGTATGTCATTTTGTCTGAGTTATCACTATTCTATAGAGAAAATGTGCACGTTATTTTAAACAGCAACTTTCTGAAATACGTTATTCTATAATTACTCTGTATATTGAATAACAATTTTGTATTCACTCTCCTACACCTTGTTTCACAATATAAGAATAAGTTATTGGACAATTGTCCTTGTACAAATGATCCATTGGACTCCCTTCTCCAGGCTTATATTGTTGTCTTTGAACTAAACTATTCCAGATATGTACAATATAGCTATCCTTCCAGATTTTGTTTAAGGACTCAGAAACACTGGGATCAAAAAATAGTTTTCTCTGAGAAAAATTAATAGGATAAAAAGCTGGAACGGGAAAGAGATGAACTCCGTAACATGTGAATCCAGGTGCAAAGTATTTGTTTTCCTTCTCACAAGCTCCTTGGATAACTCTGGTCAATAACTTAGGACCGTTGTGACACCAGATTGTTGGACTATATTCTTTAACAAATCGTTCCATGCATTCAATGAGAAATGGACTGTCTTTCTGTGCTTTAATGATAGCATTGTTCACAACTGATAAAGTTTGAAAACCAGCGTAAGCAGGCAAGTTAGGAAGTGGTTTTCTTGTTATACAGTCAGAGTCGATGGCTACACCACCGTACTTTTTAAGCAAAACAAATTTCAATCCATCGGATAAGACATTGTTTTTTTTTATAGTTATGTTCAGTATTCCACTTTCATACCAGTTAGCTAAAGGTGTTCCCGATAAAACGAATTTAAAATTCAGTGATTTAAATTCAACGTTTTCAATTTGTGATACTATTTGGAAAGGTTTGTCGTCCTTTAGCTGACTCACGTTTTTACAAGCATATAAGAACTGGATCCTGTTTGTAGGGTGATGTTTTGCTGCAGACTCAATAGAGCAGGCTTCTCTAGTTGTAAGGTGACATCTACCAGAAGTTTCAAAAAAGAACATATTTTCTGGTTTTGTCACATTTTTCATTCTTATGAATATTTGGCGACCTGAAAGAATAATAAGTGAGTAATGATCCAATTATTTTCTATACATCTACTGCTTTTTAATATGTTCAGTACAGTTTATCGATACAAAAGTAGTGAAACTTCGTAGAGAAAACTAGAAAAGTTTATTTACAAATATTATTAATCTGCAGCTTTAAGTTACACAATCCTTTCGCCGTGTTGCATAAAATATAATAAAATCTTGAACTGATTCGAATAGCGATTAAAATCTTTGACATCTAAGTCAGACAACTAAATTTCAGCTCGAATGCAATTATCTAGTTATTTAACCTGATATGAACTATATAGTACCAACTTAGTGTTTGACTATTGCAATTTGATCAAGGTTTATTTCACCTAGCGAAGCAACAGAATGTCCGCCATTACTACCAAGGTCCAGGACTCGACTTAGGGCTCTGGAAGCTTGAAAGTAGTTTTCTTAATTTTGATTCATTTTTACTGGGACAGATTGAAAAGTGGAGAAGGGTGGCGGGCACCCAGCTTCTTACGCCACTGAGTTAGTATTTTATTAATGCAGTTTGATAAACACATTCAATATTTAAAGATGTGATTAGATTTTTAAAGAAAAGCTACACAATACGTTTTTACTTTACAGGGAACTGAACTCCGGATTTATGCATTTTAAAACCAGAAAGTTAACGCTGATCTCCCGAAGGACTATTTCAACTAAAGTTAAGTGACATTTTTATTGCACACAAAAAAAGAATCTGTAATAAAACTGTTTAGTGATGTGCTAAAGTATATTACGTTTTCAGAAAGTATATACAAATATATCTTCTTCAATTCTTGCTCTATTATAAATTTGTATCCTTATAACATTCTTTATTCTTGCTTCTGAAGGTGATCCATTGCAGGCAGAAAACATTAAAAACAAGTTCGTCTTTCAAAAATCTCACTGGTTTAAACTGATCTCAAAGCAGTATTGAATGTCTTTGAAAAGCCCCAAACGTGAAGACGATCTTTTGGGTTACAAGTCGTTTTTGGACAATAAGCAAATTATATCGTGACAAAGCATGCTATTATCAAATTCACAAAACACTGTTCTCTGTATTAGTTCTAATATTTCAACAACGCTTTTTATATAAACTTCGAGCATTTCGTCTGTTTCAATTCTAGTAAAACCAAGTTTGTTAACTTTTGTCATCATATATGAAAAAAATAAATAAAAACGAAATAAAATTACAGAGTAGCATACACAAAATAATTGTTGTTGTTTGTTATAACGCACAAAGCTCCGCAAAGGTCTATCTCTTTTCTGCCCACCACGGGTATCGAAACCCAGTTTCTAGCGTTGTAAGTTCCCAGACATACCGCTGTATCACTGGGGGACGGAAGAATTGTTATATAAGATATTGTGACGTGTAGTTTCAGCATGTGAACGTATGGATCAGTGGCTGGGTTTAAGTAATGGACTGCTGATTCTGTTTGATATCCTCAAATTCAGCTCAGACTAATGTACAGACCTAGCTTCCGCATTAGACCATATTTGAATATAACGATCAAATACCTAAACTTTTACGTTCGTGGTTCGCGTAAACGTATACGTGTAAGGTCACGTGTACGTTGACAAAATAAACCGCCCCTTCAAAACTGGGTAGAATTAGAAATGACAGAAATAACATGGGGGTGCAAGTGGCCTAGTGCTGAACATGTCGAATATCACTCTGCTTATATCCCATTGTCGAAAGTAGTACTGAGTACTTTGGGTGCGTTATGAGAGTGACTGTCAGTACTCACAATTCGATTAGAGTAGCCCAAGATTAGTCGGTGGACGATGCTAACTAATCTCTTTATCACTAGTTTATCAATACAAAAGTAGGGACGACTATGAGTAGATAGCACTTGTGTTGCATCTCTCGAATTTCCGAAAAAAAAACACAATGACATCTGATTGCTACCATAGAATGTTTATACTGCTTGGTCTAGGTGAAAAACTTAAAAATAGATAACAATGACAGTCTAACTACAAACAGTTAATAAAAATTCAAAGACCGATTAATTAGATCTATTCTACGTGACATCGTATTTGTATGGAGAAGTTTCTTTATTAGATAAACAACAATCTGATTATTGTTCAGTGACAGTTAAATTTGCGTCTGAGATTTAATATAACTTTTAAACTCTCATCAAGTTACATCCATATATATTCAAAACGTTCAGTTTACCTACCTGATAGCCACATACTCCAATAGAATGTAAAAAGAACACAGCCGTTTAGAAATAAACTGAATATGATTATTCTCGATACCATTCCTCTTCGTTTGTCGACACAAAGAAACACCATGTTCTATGTTTGAAGACATAAAATAATTCCAGCTATCATTCTATGAATACAATGTTTAACACCTATCTTAAAGTTTTGTTTTTAATAACGTTAAGAAATTCTTTAAAAATTCAGAACTTTCTTTCAACGAGAAGATAATGTTATGGTTATACGTATTGTAAAACAATATCGGAACACCAAATTATTCCGTTTGTAGAGAGTGGAACCAGATACTGTTCAAACTTGTATCTACAAAAGTTAGCTAAAAACTCCAAACTGGAATACTCACCAAGTTATTACAGTGGTTCCTTATAAGTGTTTATTTACATTCAAATAACTTATTTTTATATACTTAACGGGGAAAATCAAACGTATTACTTATAGTTCAAATTCGATGACGAGGAACCCACTTTGAGACTAATAATGGCTGGAGATGGCTTGA